GCATTCCCACCAGCAGTGTAGAAGCGTTCCTTTTCTCCACATCCTCAAAAGCATCTGTTGTTTGTTTTATTAATGTTGGCCACTCTTAATGAGGTTAGGTGGTATTTCAATGTGGTTTTGTTATACATTTCTCTGATGATTAGTGAAGCTGAGAACTTTTTCATGTGTCTGTTGGCTGCCTGTATATCTTCTTTTGAGATGTGTCTATTCCTGTCTTTTGCCCACTTTTTAATGGGGCTGTTTGTTTTCTTCCTTTCACCATGTTTGAGTTCCTTGTAGATCCTAGATGTTAGGCCTTGTCAGATATACAGTTGGCAAATATTTTTTCCCATTCTGTGGGCTGTCTCCCTGCTCTCTTGATGTTTTCTTTTCCTTTGTAGAAGCTTTTCAGTTTGATGAGGTCTCACTTGTCTATCTTATCTGTTATGGCATGGGCACTTGGGGTTTTGATCAGGAATTGATTGCCAGTTCCAATTTCCATAAGGGTGTCTCCTGCACTTTCTAAGGTTCTTATAGTTTGAGGTTTTACGTTTAGGTCGTTGATCCATTTAGAGTTGATTTTTGTGTATGGTAATAGGTAGGGGTCCTGTTTTAATCTTTTGCACGTGATCAGCCAGTTTTCCAGCACCATTTACTGAATAGGTTCCCCTCTCCCCAGAGTTTGTTGTTGGAAATTTTGTCAAAGATGAGTTGGCTGAGAAATTAAGGTTTTGCTTCTGGAATCTCTCTCTTGTTCCGTTGGTCCATATGCCTGTTCTTGTACCAATACCAGGCTGTTTTGATCACTGTAGTCTTATAGTAAAGTTTGAAGTAAATGACAGCTTTATTAAGACAGGGTTTACATATCATAGAATCACCCACCCTTTTAACATGTATTAATTGGTGTTTCTAGTATATTCAGAGCTTTGCTCCCATCACCACTATATAACTCAAGGCCGTTTTCATCATGGATATGAGAGACCCTGGACCCATTAGAAGTGACTCCCCATTTCCCTTCTGCCAGTACTTGAAAAACACTAATCAAATTTCTGTCACTCTATAGTCACTAGACTAGTTTATAGTCCCTATAAATTCTGGACATTTCATATAAATGGAATCATACAATATATGATCTTTTGTGTCGGTCTTCTCTCATAAAGACTTTCAAGATTCGCCCATGATGCAGCGTGAATCAGTACACCATTCCTTTTATGGCTGAATAATAGTCCATTGTATTTATACCATATTTTGTTTACCCTTTCATCAGCTGATGGAACTTTGAATTATTTCCACGTTTTGACTCTTGTGAATAGTGCTGCTATGAACGTTTGTGTACAAGTTTTTGTTTGTTTTGAGTTGAAGTCTCACTCTGTCGCCCAGGCTGGAGTACAGTGGTATGCTCACAGCCACTGCAGCCTCGATCTGCATGTGCCACCACTCCTGGCTAATTTTTTGATTTATTGGAGAGATGAGGTCTTGCCAAGTTGCACAGGCTGATCTTGAGTCTGTGAGCTCAGGTAATCCGCTCACCTCGGCTTTCCAGAGTGCTAGGATTGCAAGCGTGAGCCACCGAGCCTGGCCCATGTACAAGTTTTTTGTGTGCACAAATGTTTTCAGTTCTCTTGGGTACATACCTAAGAGGAATTGCTGTGTCATATGGTAATGTTCTCTTGCTTTTAAAGCACATTTGTCCTTATAAACATTGCATCAGTTTCCTCATAAGCTCGATTTAACTGATGCTTTATACTAAATGGAGAATTAAAATATTTTTTCCTGTTATGTGTCCTTATAGTCATGATCTAATGTTAATTTAAAATTTTGACAATCTTCCCAAGCTAATCAGCTATGCAGGAAGAGAAAAAGTACAGAAAATATGAAACGTGTATCTGTTTTTAAAAGCTACATCTGTTTTTAAAAGTCCCTGAGAACTGTAGAACGTCAAAGACTTTTTAAAAAAACAGGTCTTGGTAGTCTATCCTAACTGACAAGCAAACTTTTCTAGAACCTTGAGCTCTTGTGACCTGTGTACCAGCCTAGAAGCCTGGAATGTGGGGCACTGGAGGAAACCAAGGTCACTGGGAATGAAAGTCAGGACTTCCCTTCTCCATCCACAAACTTCACAGTGTCTGTGACTTCCTAGGTCTTTTAATGACAAATCCATGTGGTGATACAACCTTTCTTTTTTAGGGGTTAATGTAAACCTAACTGGACACTTAAAAAACGAATAAAAGATTTCATGGGAATTTCTCCCTAAAAAGAGAAAATAATTTTCCAATTATAGTCTGAGTTTACTTTAGCTTTAATTTTACTTCAAGAACTGTGTCAGGAGTGTTTTAATGATCGATCGGGGCAAGAAGGATGAGGAGGCTTTGCTTGTAATAGTCCCTGTACCTTAGTTTTTATTAAGAGTAATGTGAATTTTGTGTTTTTAAAAATGTGGCTTCAGTCTCTCAATATTAATTTAGAATATTTTTTCAAGAATTGGTAAATAGATTCCAGAGAAGGAAAACATAGTTCTGTTTTGGTCCCAGTGGTTGTGCCAGGTTGAAGAGTCTTCTTTCAAGAGGCTTATCAACATGTTGGATACGGATTTAAAAATCTGCCCTCCCCCAGCCCCGGTATAGGAATTTGCTTTCAGCACTTCATCTACAGATGGTCATAATTCTTATTTTTATTTTTTATTTTTTGAGTTGGAGTCTCACTCTGTCACCCAGGCTGGAGTGCAGTGGTACGCTTACAGCCACTGCAGCCTCGACCTGCTGAGCTCAGGTGATCCTTCCACTTCAGCCTTCCAAGTCGCTGGAACCAGAGGCATAAGCCACCATGCCTAGTTAATTTTTTAAATTTATTGTAGAGATGAGGTCTCGCCAAGTTGCCCAGGCTTGTCTCAAATCCGTGGGCTCAGACAATCCTCTCACCTCAGCCTCCCAAAGTGCTGGGATTATAGGCATGAGCCACCATGCTCAGCTGGTCATAATTCTTAAACATAATTGCAAAAATCATAAACATCACAAAGGCCAGCACTGAGCAGAACCTCTCCTTGTATTTTAAAACAGATCTTTTAATAGTCTAAGGGGCTTAGCTTTGGAGAGCCATCAGTACAAGAATTTCTCTACCACGTTAGAATTAGCATTTGTGTTAGACCATACATAGCAATATGAAATGGGTTGAAAGCTTGCATAATTTGATGGATCTCTTTGTCATCATAGGCAGGGTGGTTATTGTAGTAGGATGAACTTGCAAAGCTCTCTGGCACTTACTGAAGGGAGGTCATACCTCTGCTTCATAACATAGAAAATGGCACCACCTCTGATAGTGGTTTTAGGGCTTCTCATGTGAAATGCTGAGAGAAGCACCTGTGTCCACTTATTGTAAATGTATATTTCTTCCCTTCCTAATTTACTCTTATCACTACCAAAGCCAGGAGGGCACACAATTGTGAACTACATGTTTAATCTGTTTTTGCTCTTCTGCAAAACTAAGGAAGCTTTGAAGTGTCTGTTCAAAATTCTACCTACTAAAAAAATGTATTATCAGAAATAGAAGTCATGGGCGTTCTTTCCAGGAAAAGGCTTCTACATAAGGCCCACCCTGTGAGCCACTCTCCCCTGGTCTCATATCCTAGTTATAGATACTTTAAATAGTAAAGAGAAATGTATCCATTGGGGAAGACTGAGCTAACCATGCCAGGCTTTGAGGCTGGCGTTTTAAGGGCTAAGTAAATAACAAACTTGATTGTGTAGACTTGGGAGCCATTCAACTGTAAGGGAAGTTGTACTTTGTGTATATGTATGAAGCTCAGTAAAATATATTTATATTTATTGTATATTTATTTAACTTTTAGACTCATAATGTCTTTTTGATAATAGTTATTTTTATTTAAAACTTAGCTTTTTATTTAGAAAAAAATTTCAAGCCTTCAGAATATTTGCAAAAATAAGAATAGTACAAATAGCACCCATATGGTACAAGTAATAACCATAATACCCTTTACTCAGATTTACCTGCTGTGAACATTGTACCTCATTTGTTTCTCCCATGAGCTCTCATTAGCTATGTCTGTGTATGCAAAACATACATAAACAATATACTTTTAAAAAAATGCTTGAGAGGAAGTTGCTTGTATTATGGTTCTTTACTATTAAAGACTTCAGTGTCTATTTCCTAAGAGTAAGAACTATTCTCTTACATAATCACACTGCAGTTATCAACTTCAGTAAATTAAACATTGAGATAATACTTTTAGGGGGCTGGCCACAGTGACTCATGCCTGTAATCCTAGAACCTTGGGAGGGTGAGGTAAGCGGATGACTTGATCCCAGGAGTTTGAGACTAGCCTGGGCAGCATAGCAAAAACTCATCTCTAAAAAAAAAGCCAAGCATGGTGGTGCACACCTGTGGTCCCAGCTAGTCAAGATGATAAGGTAGAAGAATCATCTGAGCCCAGGAGGTCAAGGCTGCCATGAGCTATGATTGTTGTGAGCATGCCACTGCTCTCCAACCTGAGTGAATGAGTGAGACCCCCTACTCAAAAAAAAAAAAAAAGAGAGATAATACTTTTATTTAATCTACAGTCCATATTGACCCACTTGACCCAATGGTATCCCTTATAGGACTTCTAATTTTAAAATGACTCTTTCGACCTTAAAACTATATGAATGTACAGAAAGTTCCTGTGAACTCAGAGTGTAAAACTGTGCTATAGCCACTGCCTTTAATATATGTAGCATATAATACATTTCTGCTTATTTTATTTTTTTAGATAGGTTTTAGATTTAGATAAAGATTTTAGATAATTTTGTAGATAACAATTGAGAACAGACTGGAATTCTAGGGCTCCTTTTGCACTTAGTTTATTGAGAATGCATGTCAACTCTGACAGCTGAATTAAGCAGTTACCAATAATAAGTAATAGTGTTCTACATTACATCATGAGAGCTATGATTTAGAACTCTCCTACACTGTCTGTTGCTTGGATCTTAATGCTCTAACATGTTGTCATTCTTCTTGTTTGAAAGTAGATCCCCCTGACCAGCTCGGGCACTATACCATACCTTGAATTCCTGTCCAGGTTTGGCAGAATTGACACAAATATAAATGTTATAAAGAGGTAAGTGTTTTATTTGCTTGTAGGAAAATGTGAACTCTGAAATGATGAGTAAGAACTATGACACAAAACCATTTGAGCTAATCATACCAAGAGCTATCTATAGAAAATGGGTTGTCCATATGGAATTTAATGGAATTAATCCTCAGTCACATTTATTTAGAGAAGGTTTTATCATGTATATAGGAGATATTTTAGAACAAGAGAAATGATGCTGTAATAAAATTTAAACATAGCAAATGAAAACCAGATAAAATAGTTTGCATGCAATACATTTAAATTTGGAAATAATGGATTTTAATTTTGAAATAAAATATTAAGATGCCAGATTTAAAATGCGTTGGCTTTTATGCATTTGTTAATGTTGCTCATTGGAAAGTGATCATGTTATCATGGCTAGAAATGAAAACAAAAATCTTTGTATGAGCTCCTTTAGTATTTTATAGTTTTAGCACAAGCATGGGACTCATTTGCTTTGTTTTTTGCAACATGAGAGAATAGGAGTTTGACCTTTAATGTCTAAATCAGCACTAAAGTTCTTTGATTCTAGCGTGTGATTTAGAAAATATTGTTTTGGTAAAAAAAATATTGACTTATTATCTCACTCTAAATGAGTAAGCCTCATTTTCTCAGGAGTTGTATAAACAATTACATATGAGAATTAAATGTGATTCTAAAATATGAGTAAATTCTTGTACTATAGCTTTTGCGATGAATCCATTACTGGTAAACCTTAGGTATAAGAATTAGTGCAGCGGGGGAGGGGAAGATGGGGAGTTGATGTTCAATGGGTATTGAGTTTCAGTTCTGCAAGATGAAAAAGTTCTAGAGATCCTTTGCACAACAATGTGAATATACTTAACACTGCTCAACTACACTCTTAAAGATGGTGAATTTTATGTTGTGTGCGTATGTTTTTTTTATCACAATTAAAAAGAAAAAAGAATTGATGCAGCAACTCCAGCAAGAAAGACAAAATATTATCCTCTCCATGATCTGGAAATTCTCTGTGCTCTGTTTAGCTAATGCTCAGTAAGTGGGGAGTAAAATAATTTCCAGACTATTCAAAAGAATGACAAGTTGTTCTCTAGACTGCATATTAATGCTCTTGATCTAAAACCATCCCCATTTGTAGGATAAGGTTGTTGGATGGACAGTAACCTAACTTACATATTTTTTTGTTGGAAAAACCAAACTACTAGAAAAACTAAAAGCAAGAGAGCTTTTTTCTTGTTGTGAAACCTCAGTTTAAAAATTAATCTGAGCTTTTTAAAAAGGATCAGTTACTTTTTAAACATAAAAGGCTAAATATTTAAACTAAATTGGAAAGATTCCTGACTTACTCATAAAGCTGAATTCTCTTTATTGTTGGAAATAATTCATTATGGCAAACAAAGACTTCTCTTTCTAGTAGTATGGAGGGCTATATGCCACGAATAACATTTCCACTAAAAACAATTAAAATGTGGGATAAAAGTTAAAATGTACATACATTTTAATAAATTACTGAGCTAGCAAGAAAGTATGGAATCTTCAGAGGCCAAACATAAAGTGAAAATTGGAACCCAGAGAAGGAAGCATTCTATAAAGTCGCTTTTACCCTGGGACTATTGTCCAATTCTTGGTGAATTTGTGTGTTCAGTTTTACTGGCCATTTGGAGTAAAAGAGAGAAGAGACAAAGTCTAGGGAGCCTGCCCAAGGTCAAAGAACCTAATAGATAGCCATAGCATATAAAGTTGGAACACCTACACCCTCAGGTAAGAATAAATTACAAATATAAACCTGCATCACAGAAGGGCACAACAAAGACAGCTACCTATTTCAACACTGGTGTTCAGTAAATAGGGGGGAAAATTGTAATTACAAGTCAATTTACATGCATGTCTGTGCCTGAATTAAAGCTACCTGTATGTTCTGAAAAATTTCAGGCCAGGAACTTATTTAAAAGTAGTCCTGGGCTAGGTGTGCCCTTCTGTAGAAGAATGTATCTTCAATCTATCACTTAAAGAATTTCCACAAAGTGCCAAGTAATATCAAATCATGCCAAAAAGTCTTAAAAACATATGAAGAGACAAAGAATGAGGACTGTAAACCAATAGACATAATATCCAGTAGAATCAAATCTCCAAACACTTGAAATATAGGAACTATCAGATATGTAATCTAAAACCAGTGTTTTAGTATGATAAAGAAATTAAGGAATAGATTCGAAATAGGAATATAAAATAAGAAGCAGTAAAATTAAGATTTTTAAGAAGTATAAAATATAACTTCTGGTACTGAAAAATATGATAATTGTAGATATAAAATTCAGTGGGTACACGAAAATAGTGGATTAAACACAGTTGAAAAGAGCGTTTGTGATGTGGAAGATAGTGCTAAAGAATTATCCAAAATGCAGCTCAGAAAGACAAGAGACACAAAATTTGGAAAACAGTTACAAGAGATGTGGAAAATAGGGGTAGAGGAGGTCTAATATACTTCTAATTGGATTTCTAGAAAGATATCTGTCTCAGTCTGTTTTGTGGGGCTATAATAAGAATACCTGAGACTAGATACCATAATTTATAAGAAAATAAAATTATTTATCATGGTTCTTCAGTCTGAGAAGTCTGGTGAGGGGCATTTTACTGCATCCTCACATGGCAGAAGGCAAGAGAGGATCGACTCCCTCCATCAAGCTCCTTGATAAGAACACCTAATCCCATTTAAGAAGTAGGAGACCTCATGGCCTAATCACCTTTTAAAGTCCTCTTAATGCTATCACATGAGCATTAAGAATTTTTTGGAGGGGCATATTCAAACCATAGCAATATAAGAGAAATTTTGAAAAAAATAATGGCTGAGAATCTCAAGCTAGGTAAACAAAAATAAATACCCATCTAGACATATCACAGTGGAACTGCAGAACATCAAAATTAAAGAAAAAATATAAAAGGCAGTGAGAAAAAAATGGAATTGACTTTTGAGGAGTGACAATTAAATTACACTGACTTCTCAACAGTGACTGAAAACTGTAAGATGGGGAATCTCTTCAATGTACTGAAATAAAATATTTGCCATCTCAGAATCTGACATTATATTTGTAAGAATAAGAGTAAGCTTGTCTTATGGGAGCCCCTGGGACAACTTTTCTCTTTTTGCTACAGTATACACTCATCTACTGACAGTAGAGTACTTGGAAAAAACATCTGGCACCTTTACCTACTGTGTTCAAACCAGATATTTTTCAGCCAGCATCTTGGATAATTTCTTCATATCAACTCATATAAAAAAAGAGGTAGTCTATGCAGTTATTGAATTATCAGGTCTTAGATTGGGTTGAATCTTAGAATAGTGACAGAGGTACAGCTCAGATTTCCTTACCTTGTGCTGGTGGGACCTAAACTTTTGATCACAACATTTCTCTTCTGGAAATATGTTTGGGGAGGTCATGTTTTATACCAGCCAAAACTTAATGCCATTGATAACATGGAGTGAATATGATACATCTCTTCTGCCCAGGCACCTTTACTTTAGTAGAACTGGTCATGTATAAAAATTACCATATTGAGGAACTTCCTGAATATCTAATGGCAGATAATTAAGTGGGAAACAACATGAAAATTAAGAAGGTATATTATGGGTACATATAAATGATTATGGAATGATATTTTAAAAGTTTATGCCTCTGAGTATATAAGAGCTGGTAATAGCAAAATGTGGAACTATTATTATATCTAGCATAGAGGACCTTGTACTTTCTATAATAATCATAGTACCATCATCAGCTCTTCAAAAACATCCAAGGAATTATTTTACTTAAAATGAGCAAACTAATCAGGTATGGTGGCTCATGCCTTTGATCCTAGCACTTTGAGAGGCAGAGGTGGGAGGATTGCTTGAGCCCAGGAGTTTGAGACCAGCTTGGGCAACATGGCGAGACTGCATCTCTACCAAAAAAAAAAGCCAGGAGTGGTGGTGTGAACCTTTAGTCCTAGCTACTTGGGAAGCTGACACAGGAGGATTGCTTGCACCTAGGAGTTGGAGGCTGTGGTGAGCCATGATTGTTCCACTGTACTCCAGTCTGGGTTACAAAGTGAGAGAACATGACTCACAAAAAATAAAAAGAGCAAGCTAAACTTTTGAGATTTGCTTCAGATGGATGTGTGGGACATTTCTACATATGGACTGAAAGTACCCTCTGTATACTAGATAACCCATATACACTTGGCACGATGCTACTTTCATGAAGAATAAGTACAATCTTTAACGTGTAAAACAATCAAATGGATTTATTCTAAGTTTTTAAAAGCTTTCTGAGCTTTTAAAAAGATTTCTCACAGAGTTCTGAAGATCTTACAAAAGAACCTGAGAACTATGTTGAAGCTAGATTCATTTGCAAAGACTCTATATTGAAAGATTCCTTTGCCAGACCAGGTACCACAGATTCAAATGGATAAAGGAAACAACAGCAGTGGAGCATTCGTTCTCAGAGCAGATGCAATGTTGATTCTAGGCAAATAGACTGTGGTACGATGAAGAAAGTAAGAAAAAAGGCTTTTGGCCAGGAGATTTAGAAGAAAGAAGAAAAAGATTATTTTCTACAAATAAGCAAGTGGTTGAAGAAGCTACCAGAAAAGAAACCCATATAGAAAAAAAAAAGCCTGCTGTATAACATCTTAAATTTATATGTCTCTAAATTTCAATTCAATTTATTTTGAATTTTTGAAGATTAGAGACATGATAAAAGTAAATGAAAAACATTTATTTATTTATTTATTTATTTTAAACTTTTAATTTTTTTAACATATTTTTTATTTTAAAATTGTGGGGTACAGTTAAGGGTTAGGTATACAAATATGCATTGTGCAGGTACCCTTGTTGATGAGGTGTGCCCCCCATCCCCAGACAGATATCGACTACTGTTAATCCCACCTCCCTTCCCCTCCCTGCCCCCCCCATAGTTTCCCACCACTGTCAATCCTTTTCTTATTAAACTTTTAATTTTTAATTTAATTTAATTTTATTTTACTTTATTAAAATACTGAGTTTATTTCACATGTATATTTTTGTCTCCCCACCATTTCCATGTCTGACCACCACTACTACTATGCCCTATCATAACATTCCATACATACTTAAAACCAAGCAAAGGGCAGAGTTCCATCTTTAAAAACTAAACAGGCATTTTGGACAACACATTCTTGGAACACATTCAATGGAACCTGAACAACATTTATCAAACACGGTAGGGAAAGTTCTCACTCTGCATTATAAAAAGGACAGTCAGATATTAACTGTTACAGAAATGAAATAAGACGGAAAACTTTTAACAAACTGTTTAAACTATTTTTTTAAAGAGATTTCCTCCACTGCCAGAGATCTTGAATAGCCTCCTGGTCAGTCATCCCAAAGCAATTCTTCACATAATTGATGAACTTGGCTTCCACCTTGGGAAGAGAACCACCTTTTTCTATACTTCCTTGCATTTTTGCCTTAATGTCTTCTACAGAGCTAGATCCTTTTGGTATTTTAGGAGTTTTTTCCTGTTTTTTGATGAATTCTTGACCCTTTGATCTTGGTGTTGCTGGTTTTGAGTCTTCCATTCAGGTTTTATTCTTGTGCATTTTGGCTGAAGTATCTTGTACAGATTTCTTCACTGGAGCTTTTTCTTCAGTTTCCTCATCATCAAAATCATAATCATCATCATCATCATCATCAACTTCATCAGCAGCAAGCTTTACTTTTTTCTAAGGAATCTTGCTGCTACCTCCAGGAGCAGATCTCTTTCCAGATTTACTTAAGAGTTTTACATCCTTATTCTCTTCATCTTCTGACTCTGCATCTTCTTCCACAGCTACTAAATGCTGTCCACTAATATGCACAGGCCCTGAACTACACTTCAACCGTAAGACCACGAGTGATGTTATTTCAAAACCCCCCAGGGAAACCGTTGACGGCATAGACATTTTCAAAGTTGCCAGTGTTACTTTCATTGGGCTGCCTTCATAATTCATTGCCTCAGCTTCAACAATGTACAATTCATCCTTTGCCCCAGCCCCTAAACTGACCGTTCTTAAAGATAACTTGTGCTCATTTTCATCATTATCCACCTTAAAGTGATCATTTTTGTCAGCCTTTGGTTCACAACCGAAAAGATAGTTCTGGGCCTCAGGGGGCTCATGTCCATGTCCATCGAATCTTCCATGGGGTGGTGGCTCGCTGTTAAGTGGGAGAGAAGGCGGACGGAGGTAAATGACTACTGCTCCAAAGAAGAGCCGCACAGGACAGAATCACACCGGGGCTTAATTTTTTATTTTAAAGATGTAGGGTTTAATTCAGGGTTAGATATACAAATTGAGAAAACATTTAAAAAAATAAAGACTGAGGGTTAAATAAAGACATTTTCCAACAAAAACTGAGATACTTGATCTCCTGCAGGACTTGACTAAAGGATATTATAGAGGCAGAAGGAAAATGATCCCAGATGGAAGGTCTGAGATTTTAGGAGTGAAGAACAAATACAGTGGCAAAATATGGGTAAATATAAATGACTATTGGCTATAGAAATGACTACAAAATTTTCTATTTGTGTTTGATAAAAAATTTAGAATTAAAATATCAGACCGGCAATAAGCTGAGAATGGAAAAATGCATTTAAAATCTTCCAAGTTCTATTTATTAGTTGATAGGAGGATGAAGATATCAATTAACTTTATACAATGAAATATCATAGGTGCACATTGTGATTTTTGAGCATAACTGTTAAAGAATAAAAACAAAACATTTAACTTCCAAACATTTTGAAAAAGAAGAGGAAAATCTAGAACAGGCAGTACAAATAGAGAACATAAAATAAATTTTTAGACCTATATCCATATATATTATATAATTACATTAAATGTGAAAGGATTACATATTTCAGTTAACAGACAGAGATTAATTGGACTGAATAAAAATTGCAACTATTGACTTTTTTAAAATAAAAAAAGAAAAAGGATGGAAAAAATATGCCATACAAAAATAAACAAAAGGAAGTGGGAGTAACTATATTAATTTCAGGCAAAATAGATTTGCAAACCTTCGCATTTAACTATAATAAATGTTCCACTTAAGAGACAAAGATTGTCTAGATAACACAGAGTAAAATCCACTAAAAGAAAAACCTAAATATAAACATATAGTGGAAAGGTTAAAAGTGAAAGGATTTAAAGACACATATTTAATACTAATGTAGAAGCTAGTGCCACTAAGTTAATATCCAACCATAAACAGTCACAGCTTGGGTTCTCCTGAAGCAGACACTGAAATGGAGTTTTGAGAGCAAGATATAAATTAAGGAAAACACCTGCGAAGGGAAGATGGCTTGGCAGAGGGAGAAGTTGAACTGCAATGTAGGCCTGCCCAATCCTTGACTGGCAGGGATGGAGGATGCAGGAGGTTGTGACTGGAAGGGAGGGCCCACTAGGGTTCCAGTGGGCTGGCAGCATTCCGTTTCTTCAGCAGCGTGGAGGTGCACAGGTATTTGTTTTTATTTTTTAACTCTTAAACATATTATAAATGGTGTTTTGTATCTATTGAATATATCATTGAAACAGTATTAAAATGTTACATTTAATATGATATTATAAGATTTGAATTCCTGATCAGGTCCTATCTTTAACTTGGACACAGACCCTAACTCCTCCTATCCTCAGTTTCCTCCCATGTAAAAAGAAGTTGATCTCTGCTGGAAACACTCTAGTGACTTCCCCTTGCTCTTTGTTTGAGGTACAGGCTCCTCGTTAGGGCCCACGACGCCCACTAGGGCCTGGCCCTGCCTCCATCCTGGATGTAGCCGGCACGCCTTCCTGCTGCCCAGCCAACTCCGGTCTTCCTGGCCTCTGACTGCTGGCCCTGGGACGTGCAGAGCTTCTGCTTCCTTGGGTCTTCATGCCAGCCATAGTCCTTTGCTTTGCCTGGAAGTCTTCATGACCCCTCGTGGGTCTCTCTATTCAATGACACTTGGTCAGAGAGGTTTTTTGTTGCCTACCCTATCTAAAGAATCATCCCATCTTCCCCTATCTCCAATTTATTCCCCTGCCTGTTTGTTTTCTTCATGACCCCTGTTATTATTTCCGTGTACATTATGTGCCTGCTTATTTCCCATCAGTCACTGTCACCAGTAGGAGTGGAGTCTTGCTCACTGCCATGAGCCCTATACATGGCGTGCAGGAGGCGCTGGACAGACATTGTGAAGTGGAGGAGCCCTGGTTCTGCCTCTGTCGTTGCCTACTCCCCTTCCCCCATCTCTACCAGTCTGCTCCAAAGAAGGGCTTGAAGTGGTTTATAGACACACAGATAATACAAAATAAAAAATGGTTAATATGGGCAAGCAGACAGAACCAAGGGGATGGTATAGACACACCTTGACCAGGAAGTCCTACACTGAGTGGCTAAAAGTAAGCCACACAGTGGACTTGGAGCCCCTCCGTGGTCAGGACAAAGCAGCAGCAGAGGAGTCAGGAGCTGGGTCTGAAGCCAGACCACCTTGATCTGACCCCAGGCCTCCACCTCCTCACAGGTGACCCCCATTCTCCTCATCTATAAAGATCCCTAGTCTCCTCGTCAGTAAAGTAAGGATGAAATTGGACCCTAACCCACAGAGTTGTTGAGAGGTCGAAGTGAGATGAGGTTTGTTAAGGCTTGATGCATAGTAAGTACTCATTAAATGACAGCTGTAATTACTCAATTCCCACACTACCCGAGGAGGAATAAATTACGTTATATTTCATTTTACAAATAAGGAAACTGAGGCATGCTATTTGCCCAAGTCCACGCTTCTGGCAGATGGTAGCTCATAAAGAAATACCTTGTGGGCAACCTCCTCGGGTCCCCTCCCACTGTGGGAGCTTTTTTGTCTTCTCAATAAACGCTGCTTTCTCACTTTCAAAAAAAAAGAAGAAAGAAATGCCTTACACTTTAAAATATATTATTTAGAAATCCTTGTAATTTTGATGACTGCATCTTCTATGTAACATTTATTTGCTTAAAATATTTTAACAAAGCCTTTTTAATTTTTATTTTTAAGGGGAAGTGGGAATAAAATGAATTGCTGCCGGACGTTAAAAGAACTTGAAATCCAAGTGGGAGAAAAGGTAACAGAGATTAAAAAAAAAAAATGATTTCCACCTCCCCCTCATCAACAGTAATTGGTAGCAGAGGTAGATAATACAAAATGAGCTGCACCTTGTCATCTGAGTTCTCGTGTCAAAGTCGTCTGACTAAATAGATCTTCTGATAACAAGCCCATGTGAAAGCTTCTGTTCGGACTACTTTGACTGCCTCGGATGGCGTCTCTTTTGATGAATGACACCAACACTAGTCCTGGAATATTAATTTCTTTTGTATTAACTTTAGATCATTATTAGTAGGGCTGCCTTTTCTGTCTTTGTCTAAGACTGAGCAGGTTTTTCTTTAGAAAGAGAAAAAGACTGCAGCAGCAAATGCCAATCAAAAACAGCATGGTAAAAATAACCAGGCGAACTCAAAGTGATTTATATGTAAGTATTGAGTAATTTAGCCACAAAAGCTACTACGTGTGTTGAGAAAAAGAGGGTATAGCTTTGTTTCTATTTGCTAATTGTGGTGAGATCTCACCGCGCACGGCTAAGGAGGGGAGGAGATGATAATGTCATTCAAGGTTTGGAATCGGACTCCTTTTTAAAATGCATTTGGGCCTGTCAGTTACACGAGCAGTTTGAGAATCCTGCTTTAATTTATTTGATTCAATATGTTGGTTTGAAATGTGACAAATTTTCTTTCTTTTTTGAACTCTTCTAAGACTTTCATACATTTCAAACTCAAAAATAACCAGAGATTCACAAAATGTTTGTCTCCATTTCCCAGGCTGATACCATTAAGACCAGAAAATTCATCTTAATATGACAATTTTTTTTAGCGCTATGTGTTCCTAAAAACCTGTCTCACTATAGTTGGTATTAGTAGGAACCCTGCTGTAATTATCTGCTTTTTGTCATGGCTCGTTTGTTATTCTGTAAGATATATGTAATATGATTGATATTATGTGTGTTATATGTCTTTTATTGGTCTCTTCATAAACTGTGCTAATCATGAAACACTCCTGGGAAAGTCTAGTGTTTGTAACAATCATCTCAGCAGCATAAATATTGTTATGGGCCAATAATGCAACATGACAGTTAGTGTGGAGTGTGTGGACATGGGCTATGATTGTAAATTACTGAAAATAAGGCTGTGGTAAGCAAATCTCAAAAGGAACTCCATCACATTCCATCCTTTCAACTAATTTCTTTTTTATGCCCAAGCTCCTCTCCATAGAAAGCCTTCACTAAGAGTGATTTAAGCCCATGTGGGGTTCTTGCAACAGGCTGTGAGAACAAATAGGTGAAGGTGAAAGGCTGAGAGGGTGCTACATCCCAGTGCAGTGCATGGTTTTCTCTGCCACTAATTCCAGGCAGCACAGAGTGCAGCCCAAATCCTACTCGACCCCAGGCAGACAGGTGGGGTGAGACAAGACTGATCTCAGGACCCAGTCAGACCTGGATTTTCCTCTTGGGGTTAGGCCATTTACCAACCAGGTGGCCTTAGGCAAGTCCTTGTCCTTGGGTTTTTGTCATCTGTCAGTGGGGATAACAATAGCTGCCTTGAAGTGCTGTTATGTGGCTTAAAAATGCATCCAGTCTGAAGTACCTGGGACACGATTAAGTTTATCACTACACATCCTGTGAAGTACAGGTAGAAACATACCTTCCCCTTCCCCTCCATCCCTAAATGAAGAGAACAGACCAGGTAAACCCCTCAGCTGTCTGCTGTGTGCTATAGCACGCTTCTAGTTAAGATGCTGATCCTGTTAGTGATCGCACACTAGTGTTGGAGACTGAGAAGAATACCTAGGAATTATCAAAGTGAGACTTTCTTCATACACATGGCATTGCATTGTTACAGTTTGGGAATGAAGAAATGCTAATTATTTTATTTTAAATATAAGTCCACATGGCTTGTTGGAGCCAAGAGTGCCTGCTAAATGTCTCTGAAGTTCTGGAGCCAGACTTTGCTGATGTATGTGAGGACTAGCCTTCCTAGACCTACAGATCATTAGTAGTTGGAACCCCAAGCTGACCGAACCCCAGTGCTCATATTTCCTGCTGATTTATCTCACAGTGAGCTTGGTCTGATGATAGTTTGTTGGCCTCTCCCTTCTTCACGGGCACTCAGACCCTCGACAGATGTTTACATTCATGCTTTCTATCCATTCGAACCTGAGACTCTCTGAGTCCCATTTTCTCCACTATTCAAGACAGAAGGCCAGACAAGACAATCTCCACGTCTTGTGTCTCTGTCTTTGGTGACAGTGCTCCACGACTTCACAGGAAGAGGTGCTGTCTGTTCCCAGCGGGCCCAGTATTGGGGGGAGGAGGAAGTTCTGTAAGGCCAGGTGGTCCTCATTGTGTCCTTTCCCGGCTCTGCCTGGATCTGATTCTGGTTTAATTGTGTTCGGTTTCCACTCTGCAGCCACCGTAAATCCTGCCGTACCTCGCCTGCCCCTTCTCTCTTGGCCTAGCTTTTTGTTTTGGTCACAAACATGACCCTGTAATTTCTTTTTTTCTTTTCCTTCTTTTTTCTGTGTGCCCCCTTCTCCAGAGACCCTGTGCTTTCATTTGGCTCCCTTCTGTGCTTTTGACTGGGCACCTCTGGACTGGCTCTTGAGTTCTCTGGTCTTCGGGTTCTTTGCTCCTATAGTCTCCTGGGAGGCAGAGGGATTTAGGGAGAATCCGGTTCCCTTGGGACTGAAATCCAGTCTCTGAAGCTTGGGAGTTAGGGTGGGTACCCCTCACTGTTCTCAATTTCCTCATCTTGACAGTGGAAATAACAGAACCCACCTTTCAAGGTACTTACGAGAAAGATTGAGTAATTTAAGTGAAGCCTCTGGCATACAGTAGAGGCTCAATAAATGTTAGTCCCTTCCCCCACTGACTAATGACACTGGTCCTCCTTGTCTAACACTACTAACACCCTTCCCCTTCAGGTGGTAGACTTTACCTACCACCAAGTGCCACCTCCTTAGCCACAGTGGTGTTTGGTTGTTTTCACTTGTGAGAAACAGAAGACCCCAGCTTAACTAGCTTAGACAATAAGGAACTTCTTATCTCACCTAAGAATAAGTCAGAAGGGAGTGTGGGAGTGTGAGCTGATCAACCCTTAGCTCCTTTTGGTCACCAGGAGGTTGCCACCAGGCATAACATGCAGGTATTTCAAAGTCAAACTTTTTCCAATGTGCTATTTCTTCCAATGTGACTCTTTAAAAACAAGACAAAGCTTCTCCCCATGTCTCACTGTCTAGAATTATGCCCCATACCCAAACCAATTACTGACAATGGAATTGGTCCCTGCCAGTAGCCTGGACCAATCCTGATTATCACCTTGTGTAACCACAAGAAGCACTTGGCCACCCAAGGAGTGTGAATGTCTACACAAAATGGAAGGTTTTGTTAGAAAGAAGAGTGTAGAAGTGAGTGGATTTGGGAAGGCAACCAACAGCATCTGCTTCAGGTACCCACTGAAAGGATCCCTCCAGGCTGGGCGAGCCCTCATATTTTTGACACTAATGGAATTTTTTGGATTTTACCATCTCTAGTAAAAATAATAGCTAGCATTGATTGAACACTTAGTAGACACTCTTCTAAGTGCTTTAACATACTGGATCATGTAATTCCCAGGAGAACCCCATGAGGCAGGTGTCATTGTTATCCCATATTGATGTAGGTGGAAACTGAGAACAGAGACTAAGCAATTTGACCAGGGACACACGGCTGGTGGGTGGCGAACCTGCAATTCAAACCTCAGCAGCACTTTGCTCCAGAGTCCTTGCCTTAACCACTAGCCTCCCCTGCCTCTCGGAGGTCCTTTTCAGGGAAGGATTACTTTGCATTCAGCTGCTGTGACACTTGCTATGCCTGTAGGTAGACCCAGTTCCATCACCTAGAAGCTCTGTTCACCGTCACTGTGTGAGTAAATGGAGTGTTTTGTTCAATCACAGAGTCACCTTTCTGTCGTGTAGCATCTACCACAAATAGGCATTTGGGAATTTTCTTCCCTCTTCTCTCTCTGGTGTCCTGCCTTTCACACCCCCTCACACCTCCTTAGTCATGTATGCACCTGTCTGCACTGGAGGGCCCCACTTATCCTGGTAGTGACAGTGTCTGAGACCTTAGACGTGGATTCCTCATGTTCTTCAGGTAATCTGCCAGGACAAAAGGGACTCAAGCAAAGCTTCAGTGTGTTGCCAGGCTAACAAAGTTTTGGGCTTCTTTCTCTGTTTTATCATTTGTCACCTCCCCATAGGAGGTGAAGACAGTAGTGGCTTAAAACGGAAGACAGTCCCATCTTGCCACTTAGGATGGTGTGAGTGGCGACTCTAAGACTTGTCGAGGGGAACTACTGAGAAATAGGAAGCTATTCTGACCTATGTGAGAACACAGTACATGCTTAGAAATGGCATGGCTCTTCCTCCTGCCCCCCCAAACTATCATTAATTGAAGACAAGAATTAAAGAATGTCTATTCAGCTCAAGAAGTATAAAAAGGAGAAGGAACATCCACAGCCCCAGGCTGTTTGCTCTTGCACCACACTGCTCCCCAGTTCAGGGAGCTCTCAAAAAATAAAAATACAAAACAAGCTCAAAATCTTGGGTGCCACAATGTCAGAACATCTGGTCTACCCAGTCAGCTGTGACTAGTGTGTCTGTGGGACACCAAGTGATCTGACACTAGTTTTTATGGGATTACCCCGGTGCCTTAGAGTTGTATACATACAGCCTTAGTCATTTCAGAAGCAATTAGTAAATAATTATAGGTACTGAACTGTTTGCTTGCTCTGTAATATCCTCCTGAAGGAGAGACAAAAGTGATGGGTAGATTCATTTTCTTAAATTGGTGAATTTTCTTTAAAAAGAAATCCTTAAAATTTACTGCTCAAGGAATAAAGAATCAGTTGTTAGTCAAAATCACAACCATTTCATAAACATACCTTAATATTACAACACCACATTAGCATGAATGAATAGACTGGAATGCAGTCTGTTTGCCTAATATAAAGGCTGTGTCAAACTCAAAATGAG